GAGACAGGAATTTTCTTCTCAGCATATAGTCAGTGGTTGGTTAAAGTTGAAGTATTAGGTGAAGTCACCTAAGGAGTAAGGGTAGATAAAGAAGCAGGCCTAGCAATGCCCCTGAGAAGCTCTGCTTTCTTAAATATAAACTCTCAAAATCACTCCTCAAAAATCCCTTTCTCCAAATTCTGTAAGTCCTTTCTTCATAGCACGTATCAGTAACTAAATGTTCTTTATTTGGGCATTTATTGCCTATCTCCTACTACAATATAAACACCTTGCAGGCGGACAGAACAGTCTCTAGCACAGAGTAGAAACCAATGTGCACATAGGCCCAACAGTTCTACTTTGAAGATTTCACCCCAGTGAAATGATGTGAAAGCCATGCAAAGGTTCAGGGTCAAGGAATGTTGTGGCAGCACTGTTTATAATACAAAAGAATTTAGAACAACCTAAATGATAGGAATAGAAGTTTAATTAAATAATTCCATGCAATGGTATACTACAAAACAATGTCCATGATACTTTAGATTAGTGGTTCTCAAAGTATACACCTGGACCAGCGGTATTAGTATCACCTGAGAACCTAATGGAACTACAAATCACTGAGTTTTAACAAGCTTTCCAGGTGATTCTGACGGATGCTAAAGTTTAAGGACCATCAGTTTTAAATGAACATATAAAGTCACAGATTTCCATAAAATAAATGTGTGTGTGTACACACACGTGGAACTTTTTTTTTTTTTTTTTTGGTATATTCCTCATAATATGTAAGGACCCCTAGTTAAGGTGGCAAATTAAAAACATACATTAGCCTCTGCTCTCTCCTGCTACAACAATTATTGTAAAGAGAATTCTTAAAACATGTAAACCTGAGAACAAATAATATGAAAAAGGTGACAAGAGCAATAAAATCTGAGAAGTCGGAAAGCATACAGACAGGTGATTACTGCCTTAGCAGTCCTGAGAAAGCTGGATTCAAAACCAGCAGTGAGGAAAGCCAAAAAGCAGTTTTCACTGGGGATCCCGAAAGATGGCTCAGGAATTGGTGAAACTCACACCCCTAGAAACTGCATGAAGGCAGGCCTAACACCAGGATGACTGCTTAAAATTCAGATTAAGAAGCAGTTTGACATCCAGATTCTTATCCAAAATCCATGCAGTCAAATGACTGCCCCTCCCCAGTCTTGGCCAAAAACTGGAAATTTCTTCTCCAGAGAGGTCTCTAGAATAAGGCCTGCCAGTCACATGCACCACTGAGAAGTGAAAATCGGGGGCTTAAGTGAAAGTTTACATCCTGAATACTAAAACAATCTCCCATTCCCCTCGGGCCTCCTTCTTCCTACCCAGTTCCCAGAACAGTGACAGCCTGGATTACACACCCGCCAAACAGAAGATTCAAAGCTCTGAGGAATCTGATCAGCTCCAGGGGGGAAAGACTGAAAGATGATAATGCTAGGAGGGTGGGGGGAGGGCTTCACAGAGAAAACAACCTTGCATACAGAGCAGAGACAAGACTTACCATGGAAACAAAGCCTTCTATCAACTTTTAGTCTCTAAGTAAGAATAGCTACCCTAGGCTCGCTAAACATATAAAAAAAGCAGAGGCCAAAACATCAAGTCAGGGATGAAAGATCATTAATATTCTCTGTGAAATAAAAGACACTCCACAAAAATGGAAGGGTAATCCAGGAAAGAAGAAGAAATGGGGTGCAGAAAATAAAAAAATCCAACAAAAGAAAAATGACAGAATCTCAGGATGCTGGTAAAGAGAGATCCTAAAGTCAGCCAGGCCCCAAGTCTAGAGGCATCATTCTAGATCAGAGCAGAGCAGAGGCTTCAGGGAAACGTTTTCCAGAAGATGAAATTGATAGAATACTAAGGTATTAAGAGATTAGAAGAACTGGGAGGAAGTGTGGAGATACATTAGTAATAAATTATACATTAGTGATCAACAGAAAACTAAATAAATAACAATTATCAACTCCAAGAAAACCGCAGATATACAGAAAAAGAAATCATAGTAAGCTATATGGCTCAGTCTAAATAACATTTATACATTTATAATAATTTAAGGAGTAAATACTGATCTAGTAAAAAATTATAGTAATTATATTGGGAAGAGAGAGAATGAGAAACACACACTCATATACTGGTGGCTACGTGCAGAGGAAGGACAGTGAGGAATGTATGAAAAAGCTAAAATGGAATTCAATAGCTAATGTCCCAAACCGGAAATCAAGATGTAATACTAGAAGCATGTGATATAGAGATATGGAAGTTACAAAAGAGTTGAAAATGAACGCCTCTTGGGAATATGACATTAGCTGAAGGTACACTACAAATTTTATTTTTTTTAAGACAGGGTCTTGCTCTGTCACCCAGGCTAGAGTGTAGTGGCATGATCACAGCATATTGTAGCCTCAACCTCCTGGCTCAAGCACTCCTGCAACCTCAGCTGCCTGAGTAGCTGGGACTGTAGGCAAGCACCACCATGCCCAGCTAATTTTTTTATTTTTTGAGAGACGGTGGTCTCACTATGTTGCCCAGGTTGGGCTTGAACTCCTGTGTCCAACTGAACCTCCCTCCTCGGCCTCCCAAAATGCTGGGATTACAGCTGTGAGCCACTATGACTGGTAGACTATAAATGTAAATTTTTTTTTTATTTTTGCAATTTTTTTATAATGACTTACAGAATGATTTGAATTATATGCATGTAGAATTTTGATTTAAAAATTTAAAGAATGAAGAAATAATTCAAATTTTGACAAAAACAAACTCTTTCCCTATATATATATATGAAGGAAAAACTTTCTGGAATGATCTAAAATAACAGTTGTGGTAATTTCTGGTTGGTACAATAACTGGTGATGTTATATTCTTTGTGACTATCTGCATTTTATAGTTTTATGTGGAGTTTCATTAATAATTACTTTTTTTTTTTTTTGAGAGAGAGTCTTGCTCTGTCACCCACACTGGAGTGCAGTGGTACAATCTCGGTTCACTGCAACATCCGCCTCCTGGTTCAAGCGATTCTCCTGCCTCAGCCTCCCAAGCAGCTGGGAACACCCATGTGTACCACCATGCCTAGCTAATTTTTTTATTTTTAGTAGTGACAGGGCTTCATCATGTTGGCCGGGCTAGTCTCGAACTCCTGACCTCAAGTGATCTGCCTGCCTTGGCCTCCCACAGTGCTGGGATTACAGGTGTGAGCCACTGCGCCCCCCAAATAATTACTCTTAATGTAAAAACTAAAAGAAAGCTCTAAGGGGTTATGCATGGTGGCTCATGCCTGTAATCCCAGCACTTTGGGAGGCCAAGGCTGGTGATCACCTGAGGTCAGGAGTTCAAGACCAGCCTGACCAACATGGTAAAACCCCATCTCTACTAAATACAAAAAAAATTAGTCAGGTGTGGTGGTGCATGCCTGTAGTCCCAGCTACTTGGGAGGCTGAGGCAGGAGAACTGCTTGAACCCAGGAGGCAGAGTTTGCAGTGATCCGAGATTAGGCCATTGCACTCTAGCCTGGGCAACTAGAGCTAAACTCTGTCTCAAAGAAAAAAAAAAAAAAGCAAACAAAGCTGTTAAACATAGGTAAACAAAACAATCATGATGCCTTAAAAGGAGCTAATATTTTTCCTTTTAAGGGTTTTTACAGGTCTTCTGGGACTACCTGAGCTCAGGCTTGTCTGAAAAGGCAGAGAAGAAAACTCCAGAAATTCCTTGCTGCCCAATTAGTGTATGATCCTAACACTTTACGCAAAAAATAACTTATTTGATATCTGTGTCACTATGCAGTCCAATACAGTGTAAAACTAATCCAAAAACTAAAAGAAAGCTCTAGGGGGTCGGGTGTGGTGGCTCATGCCTGTAATCCCAGTACTTTGGGAGGCCAAGGCTGGTGGATCACCTGAGGTCAGGTCTTGTGCTCAGATGGGAATACACTGATAAAAAAATTTTTAATTTTTGGAGGGCAAGGAATGTTTGTTGAAAAATTTAATTACACTTAACCACCCAGATGTCAATAAACAATTTCTTTTTTTTTTGAGACGGAGTTTCACTCATGTTACCCAGGCTGGAGTGCAATGGCGTGATCTCGGCTCACCGCAACCTCCGCCTCTTGGGTTCAGGCAATTCTCCTGCCTCAGCCTCCTGAGTAGCTGGGATTACAGGCACGCACCACCATGCCCAGCTAATTTTTTGTATTTTTTTATTAGAGACGGGGTTTTACCATGTTGACCAGGATGGTCTCGATCTCTTGACCTCGTGATCTACCCGCCTCGGCCTCCCAAAGTGCTGGGATTACAGGCTTGAGCCACCGCGCCCGGCAGCAATTTCTAACACTAGAGGGTTTGGAAAACCTGGTCTGTTTTCCATCATTAAAAAAAAAAAAAAAATTAAAAAAGAAATGTAGTAAAGGAACAACTAAAATTAATGAATGCTTTAGGAAGAAGGCCTATATTTTGATCTTAAATATATTCCTTATCTATTTCAAGTTACGGAATTATATCAGAAAGTAAAACACACATGTAACAAGGTAAATTTTACTCGGCTTGTTTTAGTCTATGCTTAGAAATTGGACATATCATCTTTGTCTATTTTACCATATGGCTACTTTATAACATTTTTTTGCTACAACTTTTCTGTAAAAACTCTGAGCTCACACATATATGATCTTTTTGAAGCAGCCTCCTTCTTTCTGGATCCACTTGATTGTTATGTCTCTTTAAAATCACACACAAAACAACTCACATTGGCCGGGTGCGGTGGCTCATGCCTGTACTCCCAGCACTTTGGGAGGCCGAGGCGGGAGGATCACGAGGTCGAGAGATTGAGACCATCCTGGTCAACAGGGTGAAACCCCGTCTCTACTAAAACTACAAAAAAATTAGCTGGGCATGGTGATGCACACCTGTAATCCCAGCTACTCAGGAGGCTGAGGCAGGAGAATTGCCTGAACCCAGGAGGCAGAGGTTGCGGTGAGCCGAGATCGCGCCATTGCACTCCAGCCTGGGTAATAAGAGTGAAACTCCGTCTCAAAAAAAAAAAGAGAAAACAACTCACATGGAGACAATGTGCCTTTTTAAAAATTAGGCTAAGATTTCATTTAGTTTGCCTTTGTCTTAGCCATATGATTCAGCAAGTCATTCTTCCTTGCCAGACCAAGTTCCCTTTCCGTGGAATATCAGAAGATCAGACTAAATTATTTTTAAGGGGCATACCAGCTCTAAAATTCTAAATGGTTTGGTTTTCATTTTTACCTGATTGCGATGCTTTGCTGATGGGGAAAGATTTTCGAGTGTGGACATCAGACTGAGATTCCATTCCACTTTCAAGAAAAGGAGAGTTGACATCACTTAGCAGCTCAGGCTCACTAGCCCAGTCTGAATGACTGAGATTGTCTTCTAATACCTGTTTGCAAAATAATATAAATAAAACTGTTGCGTAACAGTTTTAAACAGTTAATTTCTGTGAACTTAAACAATTCCTGACCATCACAAATACCATAAAAGAAACCCCTCTAGAAAACTTCAACTGTCTGCCAAGTCCCTTACTTCTGAAACATGCTCCTGACAGCTCCCAGCAATGCTTCTTAGAGAAGGGTCCCAGGCAAAGATGAGCGAGGAAACCGGCTGCCAGCCCTCCCATCGGGTCTCCTTCTTCTTCCGTGAACATCTCTCTTACAGTGCTAATATCTTCACCACTGAAAACATCAGGCATCAATAATGACTCCACACATGACGGCTGGCCTCTTTTTTACCAAACCTACCTGGGGAATTTTTGCTTTGTATCTTTGGTAATTCTGGTTCTCCTGCCTGAACTATCCCTTTCCCGCCTCTCTCTGACTCATTACTTACTCCTCATGCCGTCTTTCCAACCCGCTCTTCAGTGATTTCTCCTTTCCTTGAACTTCTATATATAGCACATATGATTTGTAACATGTAATCAATAAGGATATACTATCTTATGCCACTGTTTAATTGTTCACACATGTACTGTTGAAATGACAGAGAGTCCCTAAAAAGGTCAACTGGCTAGCTACCTAAATACCACATTAGCTGACATTACCTAGGGAAACCAATCACAGTAAAAAAGGCATGATTTCAACCCTGCAGGCCAAGAAACTTGATCTTACTACAAGAAGATAAGACTCCTGTTAAAGAGGATCATAAGACAATGAAGAAAAAAAAAACCTCAGAGAATGAAATAAGATGCTTGTGTCCTCTGTCAAGCATATCCCCTCCCTATAGGGAGGCTGCACCAGAAAGCTGGCTGATGAACATGAACATACTGAGAAAACGTCCACAGGTTCCCAGTTAACCACTGCCAGCAGCTGTACCACATACACTGCCTCTGCCTGATTGTACTATTCAAACTTCTGTCTAAAGCCAGTTTCTCTATTTGTGCACTTAATCCCACCCCTTTGTGTATTCAAAGATCCACATCTACTTTCTCTCCATTGTAACTTTTTCTCTCCTGCATCATTCCTATCAGTCCATAAATATGCTACCATTTATCACTTTTTAAAGCTCTCCCTTGACCCCAGCAACCATGCCTTTTCTTTGTACTTGTTGCAGCAAAACGCCTTGAAAAGTCCAGATCTGTTGTCTCCAATTTCTCTCCTCTCAGTCTACCTTATATTCCATTCCAATCAAGGTTTTGATCCCACTCTTCACTAACCACTTTGCAGCCCTCTTTCTTCTTGACCTAGTGACAGCATTTATCACAGCTGATCACTGTTCTCTTCTTGAAACACTTTGTTCCCTTAGTTTCCAGAGTGCTCATTCTCTCAGCTGTGCTCTTACTTCACATTGTTCCTAAGAATTTTTGTCAGTTCCTCTTTTATCCCAAACATCTTAACCCTAGAATGACCAAGAGCTCAGTTTTTGGTCCCCTCTGTCTTCACATGTTGGTGATGTTATCTGGTCTTATGGTTTTAAATACCAGCTACTATCTTCAAATTGTAAAATGTACCCCCCCACCACATTGGAACATCCCAGAAATCGAGATTTCTCTTACAATCATTGGCATGTCACAACTGAATTTGCAGCACTCTTTTCTTTCTTAGCGGTACTTAAAATAATGGTGTATCTTACAAACAATGGCATGTTAGGTTTCATACTAATATAAACTGACAGCTTCCAAAGTTATGTCTCCAGTCCAGACCTCTTTCCTGAACTGCAGACTTGAATTTCCCCTTGAATGCTTGATACGGTTTTGGCTCTGTGTCCCCACTCAAATCTCATCTTGAACTGTAATCCCCATGTCTGGAGGGAGGGAACTGGTAGGAGGTGACTGGATCATGGGGGCGGTTTCCCCGTGTGGTTCTTATGATGGTAAGGGAGTTCTCATGAGATCTGATCATTTTAAAAGTGACAGTTTCCCCTGCAGGTTTTCTCTCCTGCTGCCATGGAAGATATGCGTTACTGCACCTTTGCCTTCCACCACAATTGTTAAGTTTCTTGAGGCCTCCCAGCCATGCAGAATTCTAAGCCAATTAAACCACTTTTGTCTATAAATTACCGAGTCTCAGGTATTATCTTTATAGGACTGTGGAAATGGACTAATACAGGAAATCGATACCAGGAGTAGAACACCACTATAAAGATACTTGAAAATGTGGAAGCAACTTTGGAACTGGGTAACAAGCAGGGGTTGGAACACTTTGGAGGGCTCAGATGAAGACAGAAAGATGAAAGTAAGTTTGAAACTTCTTAGAAACTTGTTGAATGATTGTGATCAAAATGCTGTTTGTGGACGGGTGCAATGGCTTATGCCTGTAATTCAGGCACTTTCAGAGGTGAAGGTGGGCAGATCACCTGAGGTCAGGAGTTCAAGATCAGCCTGACCAAAATGGTGAAACCCCATCTCTACTAAAAATACAAAAAACTAGCTGGGCATGGTGGCACACATCTGTAGTCCCAGCTACTCGGGAGACTAAGCCACAAAAATCACTTGAACCTGGGAGGCAAAGTTGCAGTGAACCAAGATGGCACCACTGCACTCCAGCCTGGGCAACAGAGCAACACGTCATCTCAAAAAACAAACCAAAAAATGCTGATAGTGATAATGGACAATGAAGTCCAGGCTGAGGTGGTTTCAGATGGAGATGAGGAACTTACTGAGAACTGGAGTAAAGGTTACTCTTGTTAAGCTTCAGCAAAGAGACTGGTGGCGTTTGGCCCCTGCCCTAGAAATCTGTAGAACTCTGAAGTTGAGAAACATGATTCAGGATATCTGGCAGAAGAACTCTCTAAGCAGCAAAGCATTCAAGAGGGTGACCTGGCTGATTCTGAAAGCATTCAATCATGTGCGTTCACAAAGAGATGATCTGAAACTAGAACTTTTATTTAAAAGGGACGCAGAGCATAAAAGTTTGAAAAATTTGTGCTGGACCGTGAGATAGAAAAGAAAAACCTAGCTGGGCCTGTAATCCCAGCACTTTGGGAGGCCAAGGGAGGTGGATCAAGAGGTCAGGAGTTCGAGACCAGCCTGACTAACATGGTGAAACCTCATCTCTACTAAAAAAAAAAAAAAAAAATACAAAAATTAGCTGGGCGTGGTGGCACATGCCTGTAATCCCAGCTATTCAGGAGGCTGAGGAGGTTGCAGTGAGCCAAGATCATGCCACTGCACTCCAGCATGGGTGACAGACTGAGACTTCGTTTCAAAAAAAAATAGAAAAGAAAAGTAAAGTCCATTTTCTGGGGAGAAATTCAAACTGGCTACAGAAATTTGCATAAGTAATGAGGAGTGAATGTGAATAGCCAAGACAATGGGATAATGTCTCCAGGCATGTCAGAGATCTTTGAGACAGTCCCTCCCATCACAGGCCCAGAGGCCTAGGAAGAAAAAATAATTCCGTGGGCTGGGCCCAGGGCCCAGCTACTTTGTGCAGCCTCAGGATATGGCACCCTGCATCCCAGCCACGCCAGCTCCAGCTGTGGCTAAAAGGCACCAAGGTATAGCTCAGGCCGTGGCTTCAGGGGGTGTAAGCCCCAAGCTTTGGCAGCTTCCACGTGGTGTTAGGCCTGTGGGTGCATATAAGATGAGAGTTGAGGTTTGGGAACCTCTGCCTAGATGTACAGAAATGCCTGGATGTTCAGGCAGGAGTCTACTGCAGGGGAGGTGTCCTGATGGAAAACCTCTTCTAGGGCAATGCAGAGGGGAAATGTGGGGCTGGAGTCCCAACACAAAGCCCCCACCGGGGCATCGTCTAGTTGAGATGTGAAAAGAGGGCCACTGTCCTCTACACTGCAGAATGATAGATCCACCGACAGCTTGCACCACATGCTTAGAAAGTGACAGGCACTCAACAGTGGCCCATGAAAGTAGCCTTGGAGGCTGTACCCTGCAAAGCCATAGGAGCAGAGCTGCCCAAGGCCTTGCAAGACCACCCCTTGCATCAGCATGCCTGGATGTGAGACACAGACTCAAAGCTTATTTGGGGGCTTTAAGATTTAGTGAATGCTCTGCTGGGTTTCAGACTTGTACGGGGCCTATGGCCCCTCTGTTTTGACCAATTTATCACATTTGGATTGGGAACATTTACCCAATGCCTGTTGCCTCATTTCATCTTGGAAGTAACTAATTTGTTTTTTATTTTACAGATTCATGGGCAGAGGGTACTTGCCTTGTCTCAGATAAGACTTTAGAGTTAATGAATTAATGCCGGAATGAGTTACGACTTTGGGAGACTGTTAGGAAGGCATGATTGATTTTGCAATGTGAGAAGGACACGAGATTTGGCAGGGGCCAGGGGTGGAATGATATGGTTTGGCTCCCCATCCAAATCTCATCTTGAATTGTAACCCCCACATGTTGAGGGACCTGGTGAGAGATGACTGAATCACGGGGGTGGTTTCCCCCATGCTGTTCTCATAGTGAGGGAGTTCTCATGCGATCTGATGGTTTTAAAAGTGGCAGTTTCCCCTGCGTGTGCGTGCATGCATTCTCCTTCTCTCTTCTCTCCTCTCTATCTCTCCCGCCTTTGGCCATGATTCCATGTTTTTTAGGGCCTCCCTAGCCATGTGGAACTGTCAGTCAATTAAAATTCTTTTGTTTAGAAATTGCCCTGTAGGTAATATTTTTATAGCAGTGTGAAACTAATACAGATGCTAACAGAACTTAACATGTCCAAAACAGAACTCCTGACTTTCCTGGCCCACTTACCCTTCAGTTGATGACAACTTCCTTCCAGCTGCTCAGGTCAAAAACCTTAGTGTCATCACTGACTCCTATTTCTCTCTTTCTCTCACACCCCACATCCAATCCATCAGGAAATTCTGTTGATCTATCTTCAGAGTTTATATAGAATCCTATTACTTATCACCTTCAGTTCTACCACCTGGTCCCATCCACCATCATTTCTCATCTACACCAGTGCTTCTTAAACTTTAGTATACTGTGTATAGGAAGCGCCTAGGGACTTCTTAAATAGCATCCTTCCCACTCTCTATATTTGCTTGTTAATTTGCTTTTTCTGCACATTTTCAGTAATTTACCTCACCCAAGATAACACAGCTCAAAAGTAAGAACCGGGATTCAGATGCAGTCCTCTTACTATTCTCAAAACAGTTATATCCAAAGCTAAGGAAATATTTAATGGATATGTTTGAGAAAACTACATTTCTAATTTAAAAGTAATTGTTCCCATTTCCTTTCAAAATAGAGTATGGCTGTACTCTTGAAGTAGAAATTATCTTACCAATTCGTTTATCAGCTTAATATTTTATTTACTGAGTATTCACCAAGACTTTTGCATGATGCTAACATTGCTTTACACTTAAATTTACTCATCTAGCAAAACCTTTTTTTTTTTTTTAAATTTTAACTCAAAAATATTTAAATGTCAGAGAATCCCAGGTTCTGACGCATACTTTTTATATGCTAGGCAAAGTCCCACGGCATAAATACAATCAACAAATACCTTAGCTATGAAATTTTAAAGATCAAGTTCTTAGTAGTTCAAGTAATTCTTTTCTTTTTCAAGTGTTACCTTCGAACCATACAGCATCTTGTGATTTTCTTGAGAAGTATCTATCTCATGTATCAAGACAGCATAATGTTTCATAGTGGTGATTATAAAATATCTTTTCTAGTTATATGCAAGTTATTTCTCTTGTGAGTTTATTTAAATTCATTGTCTCATATTTTAAAACATTCTCCAAAAGAACTCATTAGGTAATTCCCCTTTTTAATTTTTTTCAGTTAGCTTTCTCAGGTTGCCGTCCCCCTCCCCCGCCCCCCACAGCCCCCTAGAATAACCATCATTATCTTGCATGACTTGACTACTCTTAACTTCTCATTCTTGGGATCAGTATCACATGAGGATACTCAAGCAGCTCAGAGGTTCTCTTTTGTCCATCTCTGTAACCTACTCTTCACCCAGACCTGGGTTTCTTAGTCCTGGGTCTCTAAAACTCTGAGTGTGGAAACTATGAGAACGCAAGCAAACAAGGAAACACTGAGCCAAATTCCCAAGCCCTTAACAAATGTGTATCAAACAGATCCTGAATCTCTTCTAGCCATATGAAGAGTAACCACAGATGAGCCCTGACTTGTGATGTTTTGACTTTACTGTGGTGCAAAGCAATATGCATGAAGTCAAAACTATACTTCAAGTACCCATGCAATCATACTGTTTTTACTTTCAGTAAAGTACTCAATGAATTACATGAGATATTCAACCCTTTATTATAAAATAGATTTTATGTTCGATGACTTTTGCCCAACTGTAGGCTAATGTGTAAGTGTCTTGAGCATGTTTAAGGTGGGCTAGTCTAAGCTATGATGTTCAGTAGACTGGGTATATTAAATGCTTTTTCCTTCTTTTAAGACAAGGTCTCACTATGTTGCCCAGGCTGGAGTGTAGTAGTGATCACAGCTCACTGCAGCCTCAACCTCCTAGGCTCAAGCAGTCCTCCCACCTCAGCCTCCCAAGTAGCTGGGACTACAGGGCATGTGTCACCATGCTTGGTACATAATTTTTGTATTTTTTGCAGAGTTGGGGGTCTCATTATGTTACCCAGGTTGGTCTCAAACTTCTGGGCTAAAGCAATCCTCCTGCCCCAGCCTCTCAAAAGTGTTGAGATTACAGTTGTGAGCTATAACGCTCAGCCTGCATTTTCAACTCAAAGATATTTTCAGCTTACAATGGGTTAATGGGGATGTGACCCCATGCTAAGGAGTATCTGTACCACACATCAAAAATTATGAAACTGGCCGAGCGTGGTGGCTCATGACTGTAATCCCAGCACTTTGGAAGGCTGAGGCAGGCGAATCACCTGAGGTCAAGAGTTCAAGATTAGCCTGGCCAACATGGTGAAACCCCATCTCTACTAAAAATACAAAAATTAGCCAGGCATGGTGCCGGGCACCAGTAATCCCAGCTACTTGGGAGGCTGAGGCAGGAGAATCACTTGAATCCAGGAGGCAGAGGTTGCAGTGACCTGAGATTGCGCCATTGCACTTAAGCCTGGGCGACAAGAGCGAAACTCCATCTCAAAAAAACCAAACAAATGAACAAAAAAAATTATCAAACTTGTCTTTTGTAGCAGAAGAACCATCTTCAACCCTAAATAAAATGTTTTATGGCACATTCATAAAGCAGTTACAAAGAAACTGGTAAAAATATAGTTGCTCTGATGGATGTGGGAGAATATCCAGATTTATTTTTCTTCACATAAAGGCTTCTAAGAGATGATAACTGAGCTGAATCTTGAAATGCCAGATAAAGTAAGTAGGCATTCCAAGCAAACAGAACAATATATGCAAAAATTCTTTTAATAGTACAGTGATAGAAATTCTATCTTGTATTTAGAAAATCAACCACAAATCCCTTTATGTTTCAACTGGTCTAATAAGATGTGAACATTAATTCCACACTGCAGGAAAAAGGTGAAGAAAAAAACTGTATTCCAGTGCTTAAATCAGTGACCCTGTCCTTCTGGACTCTAACAGAAACCTCTTAATTGAAAATCCTCTGACAAGCATCATAATCCCAGATACTCAAACTGGTCATGGACCCATCTTCATCTCTACATCTCACTAGACATATCTTTTAGTCCAACTTTTCAGACATGTGACTTACCGTAGGTTTCCTTCCAGTGGTATGAACTGGGTTCTTACAATATGCCTGCTTGCTCTTCTGAAGGTAGCGCTTCCAAAAATTATGTAAAACATCATTCTAAGGTGGAAGGGAAACGAGTGGTGGGTGACTCAGGTTATGACGACAAATGTGCAGGCATATCTATACCACAGTTCTCTTGTACTTTACATATTAATGTACATATCAATTTCCAGGAAATATTTTATACCGTATTTACAATTTGAGAACAAAGTCTTTGGTAGCATTTATCAGAACAAAATCTATATGTAGCGTTTATCAGAACCTGAGTCCCATAAAATGCACATTGGGGACTGATATGTTAAACCAGTGGTTCTCAAGCTTGAGTGTGTGTCAGAATCACCTGGAGGGCTGGTTCAGGCTTCCATCTAAATGTCCTCCTACCTGCTTTTCCTTAAAAAAAATTATAATAGGCCGAGCGCAGTGGCTCACGCCTGTAATCCTAGCACTTTTGGAGGCCGAGGCAGGCAGATCACGAGGTCTGAAGATCAAGACCATCCTGGCCAACATGGTGAAACCCCGTCTCAACTAAAATACAAAAAATTAGTCAGGCATCGTGATGCACGCCTGTAGTCCCAGCTACTCAGGAGGCTGAGGCAGGGGAATCGCTTGAACCAAGAGGCAGAGATTGCATTGAGCCGAGATCGCGCCATTGCACTCCAGCCTGGCGACAGAGCAAGACTCCGTCTCATACACACACACAAAAGAATTATAATATCATCATAGTATCAGGTACCTGAGAAACGCGGAAAAAAATCCTTCCTAATTTTAAATTTTAGAGAAGGAAAGGACATTAAAATCACCTAGCTGGGTCCTTTTCTTTTGCATATTAAGTAAATTAAGGATCAGAGTAAGAAGGCAACTGATACATGACTACACTTTTAGTTAGAAGCAAAGCTGCCACCAGGTTTACTAACAAGTCCCAAGCGAAAGTAAAACTAAACAAAAAAACTTTTCCAGCCAGGCACAGTGGTTCACTACTGTAATTCCCAGACTTTGAGAGGCCAAGGTGGGAGAAATTGATTGAGCCCAGGAGTTTGAGACCAGCCTAGGCAACATAGTAAGACCTTGTCTCTACAAAAAAATGTTTTTAATTAGCCAGGTGTGGTGGCAAACACCTGTAGTCCCAGCTACTTGGGAGGCTGAGGTGGCAGGATCACTTAAGTCTGGGAGGTTGAGGCTGCAGTGAGCTGTGATCAGGTCACTGTACTCCAGCCTGGGCAACAGAGAAAGACCCTGTCTCAAAAAAAACACGAAACAAAAAGACTTTTCCATTTATTTGTCAACTACTAGGTACCAGGCATCCCTTGGCTCTAACACAATATTGTAAGACAGCTATTAGCTTCATTTTACCATTGAAGAAACTGAGTAACTTGGCCAAGATTATCCAGCCAGTAAGTAGAAAAACTATGAATAGGATTTGAAGTCAGTTCTGATTCTAGAGCCTGTGTATGTGGCATGCTACTCAACTGATCAGGTCTAAACAGTTATGTTCACCGGCTAATTTCAGAAAAATTGCTTTCAGAATTAACCCCTAATGAAGTGAACATAAAGCCACACAGGAATAAACCCTGCTACAGCTATATAGTATAACTATATAAAACTATTTTTAAACATTTATGCATAGAATAACTACATAAGGAAAACTCAGATCACAAACCTCCACTATCAGCAATCATACCTAATACAATGACTATAATGGGTTAGCCCCTGTTGTTTCAGGTTTTTGAATTTTTAATTCTTAATGCCTTTCAATGTAGGCCCAGCATCCATTTAGGCCACGCACTGGAATCGTGGTTGTTTTGTTTTGGCTTGCCCCAACCACCAGTTTGAATAGCAAAGGCTCCTCTACAAATATTTCCTTGGTGACTGCAGCCCACATTGATCTTTCTCTGTTCTCTTTTTACCTTTAATATCACTTATGAGTAATATCACTTATGAGTGAGGTGGTGGCTCACACCTGTAATCCTAGCACTTTGCGGGGCCGAAGCAGGCAGACTGCCTGAGCTCAGGAGTTTGAAACCACCAGCCTGGGTAACATGGTGAAACCCTGTCTCTACTAAAATACAAAAAATTAGCGGGGCGTGGTGGCGTACACCTATAGTCCCAGCTACTCAGGAGGCTGAGGCAGGAGAACTGCTTGAACACGGGAGGCGGAGGTTGCAGTGAAACAAGATCATGCCACTGCACTCCAGCCTAGGTGACAGAGCAAGACTCCATGTCTTAAAAAAATCACTTGAGTATATCACCATATAAATTCATGTCTACTCATTTCACATATGCATAGATCCCTCTCCTCAACTAGGCTGGATATCTCAACAGTTGGTTTCCAATGAAGAATATGAAGTAAGTGAACAACCTGTTGCTAAAAAACTGGCTTTTTAAAGCATTCCAGAGATGACTTGTACTAGATGAAGGAATATGAAATTCAAGTAACTGCAGAAATACTATGTTGCTCCAGGGAGGCAGCAAAGTCAAAGTGTGGTCCCTGCACCGGAAGCATCAGTGTCACTTAAGAACTCATTAGAAATGCACATTCTTAGGCCCTACTCCTGACCTACTAACTTAGAAATTCTGGGACTAACGTCCAGTGATCGGTGTTTTATCAAGCCCTCCAGGTGATTCTGGAGGTTAACCACTGGTTTAACATATCATTGTCTAAAGCACATTCTGTGGAACTCAAGTCCTGACAGACATTATGTACATACCCCAAAGGATTTTGTTCTCAAATTGTGAACACCACACAGGATGCTCCCTGGAAATTAAACAAGCACATTAACACAAAAAAGGTACTAATAAACCCTCAAAGATATTTGAGTTTTACTTTATTTAACCGGTTGTTTCCCCAAGTATCTGAAGACTAAAACCTTTAAATTTTTCTTTCAGATGTATTGCTTATTTACATCCTATAGAACACACTTCCAGAATTGCTGGCCTACTAAAAGAATTAAAGCAAAAACATCAGAAAAATTATTCTTCCACATCAGAAAAATTATTCTTCCAGTAGCCCTAGTATTATTACTGATTTCTCCTTAGTTCCACTCTAAATCTTACTGTTCTTTAAGAAAAATATGTAAAATTGCATTTGCAGTCACAAATGTATTTACCTTTAACTCTGGGCCTACTCCAAGGTTCTTTAAGGCTTCTGCTTGTTGATAAAGAATGTACTGGAAACCTTCACACACATACCAATCCCAGCCTTTTTCTAAATGACAAATAGCATATTTTAGCATTTGCATTCCTAATTTACTAACTTTAATGCTACTACAGTTACAATTTGTGTTTTACACATTATGACTTGAATTTTTCCTTTTTTTAAAAATTAACCCAGAACTTAGCAGCTTAGTGACTTGAATTTTTTTGCACCATTGAAAAAGGTTTCCATTCTTATAGTCTCTTGTTTACAACCTAGCAAATGTGTAACCAAGTGCTGAAACTAAATATTTTATATAATTTCAGATTTCAAATGTTTTCCATTATCTATATTTTTTCTGAAATACTAACCTAAAGGCAAAAAAATGAATAGTAACCATGTTAAAAAAAGTGAAACAAGTTTTAAAAATGTGTATTTTGGCCAGGCGTGGTGGCTCATGCCTGTGATACCAGCACTTTGGGAGGCCGAGGTGGGTGGATCACGAGGTCAAGGGATCGAGGCTGTCCTGACCAACATAGTGAAACCCTGTCTCTACTAAAAATACAAAAAATTAGCCGGGCTTGGTGGCACATGCCTGTAATCCCAGCTACTTGGGAGGCTGAGACAGGAGAATTGCTTGAACCCAGGAGGCAGAGGTTGCGGTGAGCCAAGAATGCATCATTGCACTCCAGCCTGCGCAACAAGAAACTCTGTCTCAAAATAAATAAATAAATAAAAATAAGCAAAAATAAAAATGTGTATTTTCCTGAACGATGCCCAGCAGAATCCTAAATGAAAATACTCAGTCACTGCTTCCACTGCTTTTAGAAGTCGCATCTCACAAGGAAAGAGTGAACCTTTAGTGAATGAATTAACGAATGTCAAGATCTCATGATACAGGAGTGTAGAAATGGCAATAAGAACGTTCAAAGAAAATAAACTGCTCAATGGCATTCTGCTTTTTCTGAAATGGTTCTAGGTTATAAGGAGAAAATTAAAGCAAGGTACTAATACTGATCTCAGCCTAGGTACCAAGTGTGTGCTGGGTATTTTAAGTTGGTTATTTTCTTGAATACTCAAAACCACCCTAAGAGAGATTGTGAAGAAACCTGCCACCACAACAGACAGTTACATGTTTAACAACAACTACCAGCTGAAGGAAAAGTCTGTGAAGACCCTTATGTTTTACCCCTCACCACTGGAAAAATACTGTAACTCTTCCAAAAGCTTGCTATCAGTACTTTTTACATGGAGCTTCTGAGGTCTGTTACTAACTTCATTTCTTCTCTGCAGAATGCCAGAGAATTCAACTCTTCTCCCTTACCTGAATGTCACAAAGTCTCCCTATCCCTGCTGACTGACCCAATTCTTTCCCAAGAAGGGTCTCAGGTTGTAAGAGTCTAACAGAAAAGCCAGTAATTTTGATGGGTACATAAGTAAAGGAAGTTTAAACTCTTCAAGCTATATGCATATACTCCCTCTTCTTCTTGCATACTGTTCTTAGAAACTGATAAGGTTATATTTTAAATTCTGAGTCTGTGTTCCTATTTTCCATAATGGATGATATTTTGTTCTCTTTTTACAAATGAAGAAATGAAGGGCAATGAGGTTGACTGTAAGACACTTAATACCTAATATAAAGCACCTAAAGTTCCTTAAGAAATGTACGTCTAAACTACACATTTTAACTATTTAAATAGGTCAAGACCAAATTAATCAGGTTTTACACTGACAAAATTTAACAAAAATTAATCAGGTTTTAGCCTAATAAAAATAGTCACTACTAAAGGCCAAACAGAAACATGAAATAGCATTTAGGCATTCACTGTTATTCATCTAAGAATACCAATGTGGCTGGGTGCAGTGGTTCACGCCTATAATCTCAGTACTTTGGGAGGCCGAGATGGGAGGATCATGAGGTCAAGAGATCGAGACCATCTGGCCGACATGGTAAAACCCTGTTTCTACTAAAAATACAAAGATTAGCTGGGCATGGTGGCACGCACCTGTAGTCCCAGCTACTTAGGAGGCTGAGGCAGAAGAATCGCTTGAACCTGGGAGGTAGAGGCTGTAGTGAGCCAAGATTGTGCCACAGCACTCCAGCCTGGCAATAAAGCAAGACTCCATCTCCAAAAAAAAAAAAGAATGTCAATGTATTTTATATAAATATTTCATAAACACACATATAAATAAATAATTATATATATTTTTAATGTGTGTGTATCCTTAAAGCTATCTCATATAGAAGAGTCCCCATTATCATCAGCCTCATTTCAAATTTGGCAATTTGGTCCTACGTACCTAGTCACGAAAATAAAAAGCATCAGTTACACTTTACCTAAGATCCTTCTCAATAATGGTTAATTTTATGGACTCACTGGATTGATAAAATACTTTACCTTTCAAAGCACACTCATGCTGGGGCCATTTTAAGGGAAAATAATTTTCCCAATCGGTGTGTTAAAAATTCAATATGAGAAACAGATTTCTGGAAGCTCAATATTGTATTCAACTTCCGAACAATTCCACAGTTGAATTATTTCAGAAAATAAGTACTTTTTCCATAAAAGCACAGGAGATCATATTCACCACAATGAATAACAGACATAGAAGAACATATGCCAGTAGATAAAATCAGGCATTTTCTCTAGAATCTACTTAAAATTCCATTCCATCTCTCACATCATGAAGGTGAAAGATGTGAATAAAGAATGTCAAGCACATGTGAAGAAAGAACTTACCAGAGTTATTTTTCCTTTTAAGTCCCCGGTTGAGGGCTTTTATCTGGGCATGAGGAATAACTTCAGTGTTTATAACTTCCTTAGATCTCTACAGGAAACAGAACAAGACCATTAAAAAGATAGTTTTACATCCCCCTAGGCATTTTTCCAAGCATTTTCTAATGAACCAAACTGTGAGTGCCAGGACTGAGGATGGTAAAATCTTGGGAAAATTATAAATCTTTAACATTCTAGTTAATATTTCTGTTGTTTCTTGATTCAAAATTTCTCATTACCTAAAATAGTGCCTGGTATACAGTAACCATAAAGTATTTGTTAAATGAATAAACTTTTACTTTATTTATTTATTTTTTTTTTGAGACGGAGTTTCGCTGTTGTTGCCCAGACTGGAGTGCAATGGCACGATCTCGGCTCACTGCAACCTCCGCCTCCTGGGTTCAAGCAATTCTCCTGCCTCAGCCTCCCGAGTAGCTGGGACTACAGGCACGCACCATCATGCCCAGCTAATTTTTTTGTATTTTTAGTAGAGACGGGGTTTCACCTTGTTGACCAGGATGGTCTCGATCTCTTGACCTTGTGATCCACCCGCCTCGGCCTCCCAAAGTGCTGGGATTATAGGCGTGAGCCACCGCGCCCGGCCTGAACTTTTACTTTAAATCACTTTTTAACTTTTACAAACCAAAAGTCAAATTTACTCACTTTTTTCTCCACACAAAATACACTTCCATATTAAAATAACTTAATGTATTTATTGTAACTGGTAATGCTTCACCTACAGACAGATTAGTTTTGGCCTTCTTTTCCATGTCTTTGAATAATACTCTAAAATTGCTTTCATTTCTGATATTATAAAAGTACTCATTACATTTTATTTTTAATCAAACTTATAGAATTTTAGAATGACTAAAATGGTTAGTATAATTCATACCAGATTCTTCAATCCCAACTGCTCTCAATGGCAAGTATCAAAGATTTTGGCTCTCCCACAACTAAAAATAAAGCATTGAGTCCTTTTTTGTTTTTGTTTTTGATTTTTTTGGAGACGTAGTTTCGCTCTTGTTGCCCAGGATGGAGTGCAATGGTGCAATCTTGGCTCACTGCAACCTCCACCTCCTGGGTTCAAACGATTCTCCTGCCTCAGACTCCCAAGTAGCTAGGATTGCAGGCATGCGCCACCATGCCTAGCTAATTTTGTATTTTAGTAGAGACGGGGTTTCTCCATGTTGGTCAGGCTTGTCTCGAACTCCCGACCTCAGGTTGTCCGCCCACCTTGGCCTCCCATAGTGTTGGGATTACAGGTGTGAGCCATTGCACCCCGCGGAGTCTTTTTTTTTTTGAAAGGAGCAACATTTTATTCCATAAAGTAGAATAAATGTTCCCATTATGAGTCTTAATGCCAGAAGAAAGGTGAGGATTTTTGACCAACAGGGGACATTACTGTTTTTCTAAATTTAGAGATTTGGAATGAAATTTATCTTTTAACTTTCCATAAGAATAAAAGACACATCTCTACCATCAGGATTTTTGGAATGTAGTCTCTCTAATCACAGAAACCATATTCAAAGCAATTCTGGTATACTGGGTTGGCCACACTAAGAACGTAAGACACGTCAGAATAAATACAAAAGCCATCATCTAGCAAGGACAAGTAAAATTTATAAAGGGTAGCCAGAAAAAAAGACTTAAAATCTGTACTATACAAAATGTGAAAAAGCAAAAAACATGAAAAAGTGAAACATCTAAAACCAGAGCTATAATTAATTAAATTACTAAATGGCTATTCTGGAATATTTACAATCTATAACAATGTCTGCAAATGTTTAGATCAAGTATTTTTCCAAATTGTTATGGCAAAAGATTGAACAGCACTCACACATCACTTTCTCCATTTCATACACAGGAAAAAAGACAGATGGAGAGATTACTGGTGATTTTGGCTTTCATCTTCATAATTTCCACATTTTCTACAGTAATCATACACTGCTCTTGTAATCATAAAAATCTATTAAAATCATAGAAGTCTAGCCTACACCTTTTTAAATATCCATGAAACTCTTGCAAAAATATCTATTGTCTAAATTGAACAGATTTATGACTTTACAGTTTTTTTCCTGGATAAAATATACCAGGATAACATTTTGGTTCCTTTATCAATTCGGAAGGCCTTTCCCAGACTGCAGTGTGCCCAGAGCTTGAGAGTTATATACAGAGGAAGAGGGAGGGCAATAAAAGGGGCAGAAAGACAGGGCAAGCTGTACCATGACTTCCATTTTTCATAGCTGTAACTGGTTCACAGGCCATTCCCCGCTCACTGTATTTCAACATCACCACACTGCTCAACTCCAGGGAGCCCCAACTACATCACATTCTCACATTCTAAGTGAAGAACATGTCCAGAAAGACAAGAACAACTACTGAATTTGTGCAACACATAACTTTTTTTTCCTTTAAGCCTATCGTCTGAAAGGAAGGCAGTGAGCTAGGTTCTTGATCTTTATAAAGATGTTGTCCACCTTCATGAACTCTCCATTCTTGACTAGTTACTCCACACGGGTTGACAGTCTTTCAAAGGGGGAGCTAGGTAGTGGTATTAGATTCTTGCAAACTAAAAAATGACTGCAGCAGATTTGACCAAACAGAATCAAATGGAAACATTATCAAAACCAGAACTAGAAAAGCAATTAGTTAACGTAGTTCAATTCCCATAAAAATAGTATTCTGACTTCAACTACTAATGGCAAATACTCCATTAGACACACTCCTTCTTCACTGTGTGAAGAAAGTACACTGTGTGTACTATACTACAGTACAAAAGCAAGAGTGAGTAAAACTGCTAGTTCCTCACCACACACTGAAGGTGAGGACCAAACAATACATCTGTCAAGTGCACAATCTGACATACACAGACACGCACACACTCACACACACACACAAACTACAAAACCATCACTATAATCAACATAATAAATATCTCCATCACCCCAACAATTTCATCGAGTACAGACCTTTTTAACATTCTGTGTGACTAAATAGGAAGCAGAGATAAGCATTCTGGCTGCAGACTAAAGAATACTGTCTCAAGGAAAAGCACTTGTGTAACAGACTTGCAAGCTCAATTCACCAGTTTTTTCAAGGGAAAAATTTTTTCCTTTTACTCGCTTCATATATTTTGTCCAGGTTTTTCGTAGTTTAAGGAACAAAAGTAAATCTGGTCTCTGTTACTCCATCTTAGCCAGAAGCAGAAGTCTACTCGGTTACATTTACTTGTTCCAAATTTGCCTTTCTTAAGCCTGTATGGTGAAGATCACATTTGTTCCTTCCTGGCTCTGCAGACTTTGAGGAAATCCTTTTCCCCAGAGGAGAGTCCTGGCACGTTTAGCCAGTCCAGTAGCAGACTGTCTACACCCTTGATTATTTTGGTGATGCTGGCCTGCAGGTGTATTCACAATAGGAACTAGCACTCACAATGTGAAGGTGGGCTTGTTTCCAAGGTTACACAGGACAGTATGACAATCTCTACTTTAAGAGGCAGGTGTGATGGGTAAAACGAACACTGAAGACAGAAGACTCACATTACATTCGGGTCCTGGCTGAACACTCGGTATTGTGTAACTGGCAAACTCACTCAATTTGTGAGCCCTATCAATAAGCGTTGACGGTACCTCTCACAGTTTGTGATGAGGAGGAAATGCAATAACGGAGCCAAAAACACTTTGTAATCTATAAGGTACTATACAAAGATAACAGGATAACGAAGCATAGTTCCAAAATATTCCCAACAATTCTCAAGCTTTCTAACAGTCCATCTTCCAAACCTCTAAGCCACCATGACACATTAAAAAAAAGTAAGTACTAACTAATAAAAAGAAATGTATCATCTTCTAAGTACAACTTTAATTATTTCCCTTCAACCAACACTCTGAATAAGAAATCATTTATAAACGTGGCTCAACATAATCTCAAAAATTCATCCTCAATCTAATTCACAAATTCCTTAACCTATGTGTAACTACCGAAGACCACTTGCGTCCCTGGAAATTTCACATTGCATGAGTGACAAGAAGCAACCAAATTCTTTGGGACTTAGACTACACACCAGGCTGAAATAGCAATTTTTAAAACATATGCAAATTCATAAATGGTGTTTGTTACTTACCTCTGTAACATTGTGGCAGGAAGTGCAGTAATATTTGCCTTCATCAGTAAGACCCCATGAGACAGCCTCACACTGAGTACAGCGTTCTTTAAACTCTTCCTATGGGAGAAGAGGATAGAAAAGGTGTTCCCATCAAGCCACATTCAGTGCATTATACCTAAAGCCTGCAGTTCTACTTAGTGGGTTCCTGGAGACTTTATAAATAAAAAATCATAGACAATAGAAAATATATCAGAGAGATTATCTGCAAACAAGGAGAGGAGTGGTATGAAACCAAATTCAACTACTGGAGGAAACTTATTGAAATATGCAGTGTGAGAGGAAAAAAGAGAAAAGGAGGTGATGGGATAAACTGGAAACAAAGATGAGTAAACAAAGCTCCTTGAAAATGCTGATGAGTAAACAAAGCTCCTTGAAAATGCTGTGAGAAAGATGACAAACCTAAGCAGAGAGAAGACTTTTTAAAAATGCAAATACCATTTGGAACTCTTCCAGGACATTAAAAGCACATGCCACAGAGGAACTAGATTTGTACTAGTTTCAAATTTTGATTTATTCACTCGGCAACATAAGGAATCAACTATGTGCGTACTAGGCATTTTACTAGGTGCTAGGAATTCAAAACAAACACGGTCCCTAGTCTGGGTATACACTAGCTAATGGTGAGTTGTAACTATTAACTCATCAGCCTAGCATTTACAGAAGTTAGCCATCCATTATTCAATGAATATTTTTTGGGCATCTACTATAAGATAGTACTGCTTCTGTATATACAGACCTAATTCTCTGATTCCCAACTCTTTGGAGTTTGACTTGTTATTAGCGTTGAACTAATTATCGAGTATCATTTAATACCATCAAAGTGTGTGCCATTTGGCTGAGTGCTGGGGCTCACCCCCGTAATCCCAGCACTCTGGGAGGCTGAGGTAGGAAGATCACCTGAGCCCAGGAGTTCAATACCAGTCTGGGCAACATGGCGACACCCCCGCCCCTACAAAAAATAAGAAAAAATTAGCCAGGAGTGGTGGCTCGCATCTGTAGTACTAGATAATTGGGAGGCTGAGGCGGGAGGACCTCTCGAGCCCAGGAGGTCAACGCTGCAGTGAGCCGTCATCTTGCCACTGCGCTCCAGCCTGGGGGACACAGTGAGACCTTGTCTCAAAAAGAAAAAACGAAAACGTGTCATTTTACACAGTAGCTTTAAAAAAAAAGGCATGCCAAATTAATTTTGGCAACTTGGTAGTGTTCAGTAACCCCGTACTAACACTACAATGAATGAACCTGGGTGGTGGAGGGTGCAATGAGCTGGACCATTTGGGGAGTTCCCAAATCTTAATTTAGAATCCCTGCAGAAGACTGTGGCGAGGATTCCCAGAGAGACGGACAGGGGTTGTTACCAGGAGGCATCTCAGGTTCCAAGCCCTTCCCCTCCCTCACCCACCCCAGCATCAAAGGGAACTTGTAGGTGGTCCAGTCTCGAGAGGATGAGCCCGGTGGGTGGCCACCCCACAAAACCCACAACTTCATCCTTAAACACACCCATAACGACAAACACCACACCCTCCCTCACCCACAACCTCGCCGAGCCAGAAACTCCAGCCTTTTTACCAAAGCCGCGCGCGTACGCGGCCCGCCAGCCCCAGACCTCACCCCGCCCCGCAGCCCTGCGCCCCGCCTTCCTCCAACCGGTGGCCGCCCCAGCCCACAGCCTCCGCCGCTCCTCCTCAGCTTCTCTTCCCTCCGGCCCCGGCAGTCAGGGCCCGCCAGGCGCACCGCCTCCTTACCGCCTCCTCGAGGTCCATCGCGGCGCCGCGGCCGTTGCCACCGACGGGACCCGTTACCCGAGTAGCGAGAGCAGCTTCCGGGAGAGGCCGGAGAAGCCCTCCGTCCGGAAACGCAAGCCCCGGACTTAGGATTCCGTGCGCCTGCGCGGCCCCGAAACCGCACAATTGGGGGCGAGGCTCCCCGCAGCCCCCTCGCAGACTGTCTTCCTTTCTTACTACTGGGAACCGAAACCAACCAATAAGAAAGTGGGCGACGCCTACTGCTGAGTGATTCGATTAAACTCTGGGGGTGCTGCGCAGGGCCGGGCTCACGAGCGCGGGCTCTGCCCTCCGGGTCTCGCCCCTCGCTGGCTTTTTTTAAGGGGAAGAATCGGGGCTTGGAGGAAAGCTCACGGGCTGTGAGTTAGACATAGGTTTCTAATCACGGCTCTCCTGCTTACTTGTGCCTCAGTTTCCTCCTCTGTAAGAATTAGATGTTATCTGTGAGCCCCTTATAATTGCGTCTCCGCCGGGTGTGATGGCTCACGCCTGTAATCCTGGTGCTTTGGGAGACTGAACCGGGAGGATCGCTTGAGGCCAGGAGTTGGAGACCAGCTTGGGCAACAAAGCCAGACCCGTTCTCTAAAAAAGTAAAATCTAAATAAATAAATGCATAATTGAATATAACTGAGTCTCAGGTAGCAAGTGCTTAGTAAACTTAGCTCTTACTGTTTCTTCATTTAACACATTCATTCCTTGTTTTATTAATAAAACAGGCACTGGTTTGGGTCCTGGGGATTCAGCAGTGAACAAAGTAAACAAAAGTCGTTGCCTTCATGGAGATTCTATTTTGATGGGGAGAGAAAAAAATAAATAAGGAAAATGCGTGATATGTTAAATGATGATGAGTGCCAAGGGAAAAAAGAGGAGAATGGAAGCAACCAGGTGGTTTCAGTCTGGAACGGAATGTTCAAGAAAGATCTGACTGAGAAGAGGATTTTTGATATAGTCATATATCTCGAGAAGTTAGAAAAAAGGTTATACTGAAGAATAATGGGATGAAGGAAATATTTTTAGAAAAATTAATAAAAGAAAGAAAAAAAGACCAAAAAAAAGGAAAAAAAAAANAAAGAGAGAAAGCAAGCTTCGATAGACAGGCTTCACAAAGGCTTGGTGTGGTGGCTGGTGCCTGTAATCCCATCACTTCGGGCGGCGAAGGGCGGAGGATTGCTGGAGTCTAGGAGTTGGAGACCATGCTGGCCAACACAGTGAGACCTCATCGCTATAGGCTGGAGTGCAATGATGCAATCTCAGCTCACTGCAACCTCCACCTCCCAGGTTCAAGCAATTCTCCTGCCTCAGCCTCTGGAGTAACTGGGATTATAGGCACAAGCCACCATGCCTGGCTGATTTTTGTATTTTTGTAGAGACATACTAGAAATGTTGACCAGGCTGGTCTTGGACTCCAGATCTCAAGTGATCTGCCTACCTTGGTTTCCCAAAGTGCTAGGATTACAGGCGTGAGCCACCGCGCCCAGCCTGAAAGATAATTTTTAAGAAGAGAGTCTTAACAAACTAAGATTAGCTCTCTCAAAAGACAAATAAATTTGATAAACTCTAGAAAGACTGATCAAAAAGTAAAGAAGAGCCTAGCTTGGTGGTGCGCTCCTGCAGTCCTAGCTACTTGGGAGGATGAGATGAGAGGTTTGCTTGAGCCCAGGAGTTCAAGGCTGCAGTGAGCTATAATCAGACCACTGTGCTCTAGTCTGAGCAATGGACTAAGAAAATCAAAATAAACCGTTACCAGTGACATCACTAACCAATATATAGTGATATCACTACAAATACCACACACATTAAAAAGACAACTCTAGGTCAATAAATGTGAAAATTTGGAAGAAATGAACAAATTCCTAGAAAAACAAGTTATCAAAAGATATGCAAGAAGAAATAGAAAATTTGAACAATCCTATATCTGTTTAAGAAATTGACTCCATAAGTTAAAAAAAAAAAAAAATCTCCCTGAAATGGCATAGCTGGTAAATTCTACCAAATTTTTAAGAAAAAAATAGGCCAGGTATGGTGGCTTGCGCCTGTATTCCCAGCACTTTAGGAAGCTGAGGCAGGTGGATACTTGAGGCCGGGAGTTTGAGACCAGCCTGACCAACATGACAGAACCTTATCTCTACCAAAAATACAACAATTAGCCGGGTGTGGTATTGCATGCCTGTAATCCCAGCTACTTGGGAGGCTGAGGCGCAAGAATCGCTTGAACCTGGGAGGCAGA